ATAATATAATATAATATAATAATATAATAATATTAATCATAATGATTCTTCTTCTTCTTCGAATATTAATGGTCCTGATCTTAAAAATGATACGATGCATGAGGCGAGACGAAACAGAAACAGAAACTATGAAGTTTGTAGAGCTACAATCAGCTACAACTTACAGCGCCACTAGAATGAGATAGCATGATTTTTTCTCTCTCGCACAATTTCGACGAATAATGGCGGACTTCACGTGTCCAGACTCTTATTAGAGGGTCACTACTTTACATCGGTCAGCAAACTCAACTGTTGCGGAACGGATCCGTGAGCGCTCACTGCTATTGGTATATTCTTTTAGATCATCCAATAGCAGTGAGCGTTTCACGGATCTGCTCCGCAACAGTTGAGTCTGCTGAACGCGACCATCGTTGTGTGAGCAAAAGCAAAGCTTTTATTGGATATCGCTCGTCGTTCATCGCCCATCGCATCCAGTATGAACTAGGCATTAGTCGTGTTGCGCATAATGAGTGCGAGTAAGAGGAAGTATAAAGCCCATGGCACATACAAAAACGTTATGTAGGATTCACACTGCGTACGACATCCGATGTATGTAGTACGACGTTACGATATCCAATAGCAGAGCTTGTTACAAAATATTGTTAGCTGTATATCAAGAAAATAAGCTCTCCTATCGGACGTCGTACGTCGGATGTCGGACGTAGTGTGAATCCTACATAAGGCCGTAATCAGTAAGCGAATTGGCCAATCACAGTAGAGACCGTAAGGCCGGTAGCGAATCCAATGTTACGATTTCTTTACTGATTACGTCTTAAGGTTGATTTATACTGGCCGTAAACTGTTAACTTATGCCGTAATCTGTAAAAATGTATCAATCACATTCGAATGAGAGGGGAATAATCGATTATAATTGGTTAATTTTTACAGATTACGGCATAAGTTAACAGATTACGGCCAGTATAAAGGTTGGATTATACTGGCCGTAATCTGTTAACTTATGCTGTAATCTGTAAAAATTGACCAATTATAATCAATTATTCCCCTCTCATTCGACTGTGATTGGTCAATTTTTACAGATTACGGCATAAGTTAACAGTTTACGGCCAGTATAAATCAACCTTAAATCAACCCTTACGGCCTTACGTTTTTCTATGTGTTTCTGGCTTAAGCCATAAGAAATGGACGAATCATAATCAATGGACGCGTTCAGCGGACTCAACAGTTGAGTGAGCGCTCGCTGTTATTGGTATATTCTATAAGATCATCCAATCAGAATTTTAAATCTGGAAGAATGCACCAATAACAGCGAGCGCTCACTCAACTGTTGAGTCCGTTGAACGCACCCAATATTCTCCTCGAATTCGACCGTAATTGGTTGATTTCTTATGGCTTAGGGCTGCGTACAATGAAGGAACAGATATTAGATGTTAGTATTGTTCGTTTTGTCTCTCGGGAGCTGCTCGGAGTCGCTCTGAATAAACCCAGCGTATTTGGATGTGATCCATTTAATACTGCAAATACTTCGTTGATCGATTAGAAGAAAAAATTTTACGAATTGATCAATCAAAGTATGTTTTGAGGTATCTACAACATTAAATAGACCGCATCCAAGTATGCTAGGTTCGTTCGGAGCGACTCTGAACAGCTCTCGAGAGATAAAACGAACGATACTATTAAAATATTAACCTATCAGAATATCGTGTATAACTGGTATCTGATAGGTTAATATTTTAATATCTAATATCTGTTCCTCCATTGTGCGCAGCCTTAAGCTTAAAACACTATTGTAGATCCGGGGTAAATAATACGTCAAAGGCAAAAGTGTCATTAAAAGAAGAAATAAAGTTAGCATATCACAACAATCTTAATGTGGCACGATTCCTAATGCTATCTTGCAGAAACTTTTAGAGCAACCTACGTAAATACGAATCGATTACAAAATTCAAGGTCCTGAAGGCGTTCGCGTGCGGAGTGGACTATGTATTCATGTTGCATGAATGTCATATACATACGTGTATGCAACGGTTGGAGCTGTGCGAACTCATGTGTGACATCACGCTTCATTGTTGGAGGTTTACGTCATTCTCGAGTCTGCTCGAAAAGTCGCGTGGAGTCGCGCAGAATCGCGGGGACGAGTGGATGCATGCGTGTAGGTTTATACGCACGCATGCTGGCAGGCAGACAATCTCATTGTGAAAGACAACAAGCGATAAATGTCGCTCAACTCGTCATTGCTGACTCGCACAACACTCGCTCCAGTGTCTTTTGCGTGTAAAACGGAAAAAAAGGCGTCTGGAGGTATACAAGCATCAGTTGTTTCGTTATATTCAAAAAAGCACTTGATATTTTTGGAAAAATAAAATTATTCCCGTTTGGTCGGAATATATCCGATGTGTGTCAGAATAACCGCTCTCCTATGTCGCGAAGACTGTTATATTAATATTTACCAGTGATATCCAACGACTTCCGTCATTCGCTCAAGTCTCGCACATGGCGCACATCGTCATTGACTGTGACTTCACCCGGGTGCACCTATTTCATCTTTGCTTAATATTCAGTGGACAAGACTAAAATGATAATAATTTCAACACACCATCCCGGTGAAAATGTGATTGACTGCTTGTACGGCGCTGCGCTTGTCCATCCACCGTCTATGTCTCTAGCGCCAGTTAGTGCGCGTCTTTCTTTCATTTTAAATATAACAGTGTATAAATAAGTATGAGCAATAGCAGGAGTGCGCGGCGAGGTTCTTTGCGTCGTCACCGCTGTTGATTTTTCTCCCGTGTGCGCGCGCGCGCGCGCGTGTGGATACGCATTGTTTATCAACGTGTTCAGACAGAGATAAATGTCCAAAGAGTGAATGACAGCAAGAGTGTAAACGAATGGTGCGCTCCGTCTTGTATTCAGAAAATCGTGATTGTGCTCTTTGTGTATGGGCACGTAACATCATCAAAGGTAGTTATTTCTTTCGATATTGCTGCTATTTACCGCGCAATCTTTTGCTGAATCGTTGATGAGGTAGAACAGAGAACGGTATATATGTATATATAAAAAAATTGTAGAATGCGCCATCTTTATTTTGATCAATCATTTAAAATAATAAGTACAAAAAATAAATAATTTTCAAATCAATCAGCAATTCTGTGCGATATCTATGTCGATATGTGATGACAGAGACGTGACGCGAGGTGGTTGTATGTAGTATACATACTTGAATATCCATTAAGGTTGATTTATACTGGCCGTAAACTGTTAACTTATGCCGTAATCTGTAAAAATTGACCAATTATAATCGATTATTCCCCTCTCATTCGACTGTGATTGGTCAATTTTTACAGATTACGGCCAGTATAAATCAACCTTTAGTTGCGATCTTGAAAATCTTAAAATATAGTGACACTTCTGATAGAATCATTTAACTTTCTTTTATGACTAACGAAATTTATGATGTGAAAAGAAATTGTTTTTTTTTAACATGATGCAAATTATTTGCATGGTCAATAAATCATCTGTTATTATAATTAGAAATTGGAAATATGATTACATGACGGTATTTCTTCGGAATATTAAGTAAGTCTGTTTTTTATTCCTGTACTAGCACTCTCTTGCTTTTATCAAATATTAAATGTAAGTATACCTATCTAACTTTAAATTCCAAGAGTGTATACTATGTCAACCACGAAAAAACAGACCCCATGATATTTTAATTACTTGGCAGTAAGAACATCAACATATAGATACTAATATTATTATGTTTTCCCTCCCTTTCCTTTCTCTTGTAATTAAAAAATTATAACTGTATACTTGTACTAACGTCTGAAAAATAAACATGTAGATATGTTAAAAGCTCTCTTGTATTTTGTTCAGATGAACTTAAAACATTTTTAATTAAAAAAAATAAGATAAAAGCTTCATTCTTGATGGAAAGCATTTAATATACTGGCATATTTGACAAAAATGTCATCAAGGTTAATACAATTGTTACATTTAAAATTAAAGCAATTTACAATCTATGTTATATATTATTATATAAAGTGTATTTTCTATTTAATAAAATAGTTTTATTTGTTTTAGTTAGAGAATCATAACATTTCTTTTTTTATAGGAAAGCTTAAAAAAGTTCCAATTGAAAAGAACATACATTCTCGTATTTCCAGAAGTAGGCATTTAAATCAGTTTTAAATAATGAGGAATATTTATCATCAAATATTGATCAAGCATAAACTTAACAATCACCAGTATCTCCAATGTAAGTATAGTAAATTTCTTTTTTTCTAATTTAATTTTTACTTAACTGACAATACCAAAACAAAGAAAAGAGAATTGCTTACTATTGCAGATACAAGAAATATACGTGATGCTGTTGTTTCTCAACTGCTTGCAGCTCTACAACAAGCTGCAGCACGATGCTGAGAATTATTCTGAATATACTGATGCCTATATAATGTTAGAAGAATTCTACATATTTGCCACAGAACTGGCACATCTGTGCGAGCAAGGGTAATGTAAAACTATACAATATGTTTACAAGTCTGACCTGCTAGGAAGTTTTCAATATTTTTAAAGATAATCATAATTCTTTTATATAATATTAGCCATTCCATTCTTCTCACAAACTAAATTATTTATAGGACAAATAATTTTTTCCTATGTACATGCATATCTTTGTCTAATCGTTAGATAAAAGGGAATTCTATGTTTCAGGTAAAGGTATTGACCATTTAATTATAGTTATATAGTGGGGATATTTAAAAGCAATGATGAAACGCAATGCAATGTCTGTCATTACAAAATTATTTGATATTTGGAAGTACGTTTAGTTACAAAAGTATATTATATTACCACACTCTGATAAAATTTTGCTTACTGATATCATTGATAATGTTTCTTCACTGTTATACAGACTGATGTAATTTCATAATCTGGTTGTTTTCAGTAGCATCTTGCATAAAAAATTGTCTAATACTTACTACATAGCTTGAATAATGAATATTAACAATATTTCTATTCAAAACATTATAATAACAGTTTATAGGATAATACTTAAACTGAGAAGAAAAGCTTCCTTTTCATTTAATCCATTTATTTTCGTTCACGTTAACAGACAAAATTCAAATATACCGATTACTTTCAAACTAATAATCCTCCTAGGTTAAATTAAATTGTCGATTTTTATTGTTATTAGCATTTTAAAATCGATAATCTAATTTAATTTAGGAGAATTATTATTTCAATTTGATTGTGTGTTGCAAGTCCGAAAGTAATTGGCGCGCAATATACCTGAGATAAATTAATTTTTTTAATTCAGCATTTTATTATTATTATTTCAACATTTAACTTTGATCATAACTAGTGCTATTCTTATTTGGTTAATGTATTCATATATAAATGATTCTTTTCTAATCTTGATACTTAGTAAAATTAGGAAAGTGACCCATTGCTTATAATGGTGGAGGTTACGTGATCTGAAATCTCAACCAATCAGAAATTGAAGTCATTTGCAGAATGAACGTCGTGAACGATCCATGTAAAGTCTACAAATGAACTCGAAACTTGGGGTGCGTTCCACTTAACGTTCGCAACGCTCGCGAGTATTATTTTGTCCTTCTTGTAATCGAATATTAAATAAGGATAAGATGATACACGCGATCGTTGCGGATCAACGTTAAGTGGAACGCACCCTTGATTGGCTGACCGATTCCTACTATTTTCAATCCACTTCACATTCATTGAAATGGATCACCTGATTCTAATTCCATCATGATGCTAATAATATAAAATACATTTAATTATTATCTTGGTTTCTTTACCTATCATGAACTATTAACTAAAAACTTTTCGGTTTTATCGCCTCGAATGTTAAAGATAAACTTATAAATGTTAGCTCTTATAAACTACTTGTTGCTGCTTAAAACTTTTAATAAAATGCTAAATGTCCAAAAAGAATATTTGTGCAGAAGAAAATCTCAATAATAATCAAGATGTTAAAATAAAATTAAAGATTTTTTTCAAGATCTTTTACTATTGAGATTGTATACATGAAGTAGGTATTCATGCATACAATTTTTTTTTCAGAACTTTTATGCTCAATTTCATTACCTCTACAGAAGACGCGGTATAGTGTCTCCGGCCATGTTCAAAAACTGAAACACACTGCAAGTCTCTTATTCCAAGCCACCAAAGTCCATTTTTGGGGGTATATAACTACTAACATATAAAAAAATTTTGAATCGAACGTTATATGTTCTGAAAGGCGGCATCGCCACGAGTAATTTGAGCTAAAAAAATTTGAAATCTATCAAACCGTTCTAGACATACAAGCGGTCGAAAAGGGATGATTTTCATGAGAAATGAAGTAACGTCTTCTTCTTCTTCTCTGTCCGCAGTCATATGCATCTCTCTCCTGTCTCATCTTTCACTCACATCTCCACCAACTTCAACTCATCCACCCCCATCCTCTCTTTCGCCGTATTTCACTCTCTTTCGTTTATAATATTTTTAAATCATTTTTTTATATATATTTGTGATATATTTGTACTTTAAAAAGTAAGTGATATCCGAAAAAAATCATATAAAAATGAAAAGGTCAAGCCATGTCCAAAAAGAGATACTCAAAAATTTCAACCTTTTTATCTAATAATAATATATTACCATGAAAAGTAACTGATATATTATTAATTAAAGGTGTCAGTACAAAGTGAACATACATAAAGTGTATGTAACTTTCAGCCGATTTTCGAATCGCCTCCGCCTTCCGCTGTCCCCCTCACTTCACCTCACCGCGCGTGGTCCGAATGCCACACTAGAGATCCTCAAGTAAGAAATACGCCAACTGAAATCGCTACGGGATTGGTTGATGACGACACCGCAAAAATATGGCGCAATCGTATTAACAAGTATGCACGTATGACACTATGGACACACAAGTTTGACATACACGCCATACAAGTATAACACACAATTATTAGATAAAAAGGTTTAAATTTTTGAGTATTCTTTTTTGAACATGGTTTTCATTTTTATGATGATTTTTTTCGGATATCACTTACTTTTTAGAATACAAATATCACAAATATATAAAAAAAAAAGATTAAAAAATATTATATAACGATAGAGAGTGAAATACGGTAAAAGGGAGGGGTAGTGGGGGTGGGTGTTGGAGGGAGAGGGAGGGGATGCGGTGGGTCGAAGATGGTGATGGTGTGAGTGAAAGATGAGAGGGGATATTAGAAAGTTTTAATACGGCCTTGAATGCGAACAGGGAAGAAGGAGACGTTTCTTAATTTTTCATTAAAATCATCACTTTTCGACCGCTTGTATCTCCAGAACTGCTTGACCGATTTAAAATTTTTTGGCTCAAATTACTCGTGGCGATGCCGCCTTTCAGGACATATAACGTTCTATTCAAAATTTTTTACATTTTAGTAGTTATGCACCACCCAAGAATGGATTTTGGTGGCTCGGGATAAGAGACTTGTAGTGTCTTTCAGTTTTTGAACATGGCCGGAGATACTACCGCGTCTCCTGATATTTAAATCTAAAGGCCGTCAATGTACAAACATAATTAATACGAATACGAAACCTCTAACAGTCTAGCTTGAATCTTTTTAAATGCTTATATATATATAATTTCGCGTGAATTTAAAAATGATTTGAATAACTACGTTGGCGTAAAAATAAAAAAAAAAGACATATTAAAATGGATAATTTTGCTATAATAGTTTTATGATTATATATTGTTTCTTCTCATATATAACATATTTATAAATATTAAAAAAAATTATTTAAAAGAAAATAAAACCTATTCAAATTTTAACAAAATTTATTTAAGAATTTTATTGTAAATTTATAATTTTGTGGTGATTATTATAGAAAAAAATCAAATATTTAAAGAAATTGTAATATTTTAATAAACACGTTTTGTTTTGATAACTCTTTTGAAAATTTCTTTATTTTAATGAACATAAAAAATTCTTTTTTCTGAACAGATGCCATAATTTATATTTTTGTGTATATTAAAAATTGTGAAATCTTCAATTTATTAATTTTATTGTGAAATGCATTTATAATAATTATAATCAAAATAGTGAAGATTGGAAAACAGAAAAAGTTATTCTTAATCATAGAATTTGATGAATCAGTCTATGTATGCAGGTTTATACGCACGATCCAGTAAACAGAAATGTAAACAGAACTTAAAATCCTTGCAAATATAGTCACCATTGAGTGTGATAATACTAAATATGAATTTTAAAAAATGAAAGGATTACAGTACATATATATTATTTCTTGTTCTGTTTTAGAACCACAGTTGTTCCTATGAACGCCTCTTGTTCATTACACGGTGATGGAAAAGGTACTAAACACAAAATTGGTTCAAGTAAGTCAACAAACAATCTGTTTATTGTTTTAGGCACTATTCAATTATGTCGGTGAGATAATATCTTATGTTAATTATTTGTTTATTTATTGATTAATTTCTTAGAGAGGATGGCGTATGAGGTATTTTTGGGCGGATCTTGTAATCCAACTACCTGGAGGTCAGATATAGCGATACCGACTCTTCAGAATCTTGGCATTACTTATTATAATCCTGTAAATAATTTACATACCTTTATCCTTGTTTTTTTTTTTCATAATTACATGCGTACGAGATATTACAATTAAATTGTGTATCACAGCAAGTGTCACAGTGGAAGCCAGAATTAATAGCTCAAGAATATGAGGCAAAACAGACGGCACGAGTCTTACTATTTGTCATTGACAATCAGACGCGCAATAGCGCGGGCATTATTGAAGCAGCTCAACTGGCAGCTACACGTAGCGAGTCTTTGGTTCTTGTCATTTATCCGTATCGTCAAGGACAAGCTATACTCGGAGAGACCGTTTCCACGCAGTACGTTCATATGATTAATCGATTCAAGGTTTATTACTTATATATATAATAATATGAAATTATACAAATTTAAAACGTATAATAATTTTTCAATAATAAAAACTCCTGTATAAATCAAATATAAACTTGGAAAGAAAAGGGCACTAGGAGTTAAGCGCAGATAACTTTCCGCAAATGCTGATATACAGGGTGTCCAGTAAAGAGACGATTTCCTTTTAAGGGGAGATTCTTGAGATAATTTTAAGACGAAAATTCTAATACCAAAATGTTGAGGCTATAATAATTTTTGAATTATAAGCGTTTAAAATTAACGAATCATATCGTCTAAAGTTGGCGCGCTCAGGAGCGGCACAACGCAAAGTACTAAACGCGAAAGCTGACTCTTATTGGAAGTTGTTTTGCATATCGCTGCTCATAACTTCACAACTTTCTTTACGTGTGAAAGATGTACAAAATAATTATAATTGTTTATAATTAATGATTTTATAATATTCATACAAGTTCCTTGTACCTTTTTTATTATTTTAATAAAGATTATTTTAATAAAATATTTAAAGTGTATTTGAATAATGCATTTATATTAAGAAATATCAATAGAATAAAATCTTATATTCATATATGTAATCTCTTAAAATCAATATTGACAAAAGAAGTGATAAGTTTTCGCGTTTAACGCTGCTCATAACTTCACAACTTTCTTTACGTGTGAAAGATGTACAAAATAATTATAATTGTTTATAATTAATGATTTTATAATATTCATACAAGTTCCTTGTACCTTTTTTATTATTTTAATAAAGATTATTTTAATAAAATATTTAAAGTGTATTTGAATAATGCATTTATATTAAGAAATATCAATAGAATAAAATCTTATATTCATATATGTAATCTCTTAAAATCAATATTGACAAAAGAAGTGATATAAGTTTTCGCGTTTAGTACTTTGCGTTATGCCGTTCCTGAGCGCGCCAACTTTAGACGATATGATTCGTTAATTTTTAACGCTTATAATTCAAAAGTTATTATAGCCTCAACATTTTGGTATTAGAATTTTCGTCTTAAAATTATCTCAAGAATCTCCCCTTAAAAGGAAATCGTCTCTTTACTGGACACCTTGTATATCAAACAACTTTTTTATTATAATAATTATGCTTACATGTTTCGTCTCATTTTTTAGCCTTCTTCAGAGACAATAAAATTACATAAGTAAAAAAAATATAAAATAGGATCGAGTGATGTTTAATCACAGTGAGCTTCCCACAAGCAAGAAATAAAATCTGATGTTAATTCCATCTAACAGAACATATTACAATAAAGGGAAATGAACAAATAATTAAAGAAAAAAAAGAGAAAGAAATGAATAGTATGCCGAAACTAAGAAAATTTAGGTTAATTTTGAAAATATATTTATAATTAATTGCAAATATTCTACCTGATATCAGATGTACAACTTTGCTTCCGCCGTTTTTTTCTGAAATTCGAGGCTTTATTGTAAAAAAAACTGTTATACATTTATGATTCAAAGTATTGTCCATCGCTGGCCACTACTTTCTCCCATCTTTCGGACAGCGTACGGATCCCGCGCCGAAAAAACTAGTCATCTTTTGAGGCGATCCACGAATCGATCTAATTTTTTACTTCTTCATAAGATTGGAAGTGCTGGTCAGTCAGGTCGTGTGCCATTCGATCAAAACAAGTGATAGTCAAAGGAAGTAACGTCTGGAGAATATGGCGGGTGGGGTAGGACTTCCCATTTCAACGTTTCCAAGTATGTTTTGACCACTTTCGCAACATGGAGTCGAGCATTGTCAAAATCACTTTATCGTGTCTCTCGTTGTATTGCGGCCGTTTCTTTCAATGCTCTTCTCAAACGCATCAATTGCGTTCGATACCGATCGCCTGTGATTGTTTCAATCGGTTTCATAATACACTATGCCTATTTATGTAATATTGCATTGTCTCTGAAGAAGACTCAAAAATGAGTCGAAACATGTAAGCATAATTATTATAATAAAAAGGTTGTTTGATATATATCAGCATTTGCATAAAGTTATCTGCGCTTAACTCCTAGTGCCCTTTTCTTTTCAAATTTATATACAAATTTTAAAAAAGTAAATATCAAAATCGAGAGATTTAAACCCATAAAGACCAATATCAAGTGACTGTAAATATCCTTTTATATTAATAATTATAAAACAGAGTCGAGTCGAAGATAGTGGTTAAAAAAGGTCTGATTATTTCTTCACGTTATGGACTCTTTTGTACGAAATTCAACAATTTATTAGATTATAGTATCGCGAGATCATTAATTTGTAAATTGTCAGTGATACTGAAAAAGATCCAAAGTGTTTCAGAATTATTAATACAAAAGAATTTTTGCACACGGTCATTTGGTGTTAGTTCTTATTGGCTTAAATCTCAATTTAGATTTCTTATTTAATTTTTATAATTTCTTTTCTTATCAATGTACTTATCAGTACATATACTTATTAGTATATTTTATTCTACAGGGAATATTATGATTTAATGAACGGATTATTAGTGCTTCAGTACCTAATGGAAAGACAAAGGATACCAATATTCGAGAGTGTATCAGTTGCCCTTCATTGTACGTCCAAGGTAATGGCTCTAATTGACCTACAATTGAAGAGTAGAATTTTAAAATGCGTTTTGTCCAAAATTTATCATTTTCAGAAAATGAGAAAGAAATTCACAAGAGAACTGTGCACCTTACAAAAAATAACAATTTTTTAATCAGTAAGATGTGAAATTTCTCAGTAAAATTATCAAACAGTTGCTGAAAATGTAAAAAAAAAAAACACATATTTTGTCTCTTTCTAATTTAAGAACATAATGTACTTTAAATGTCAAGATTTTATTTAACACAAATTGATGATGTAGAAATGCTTTCAGAACGTCATAAAGCTTAAAATATGTATTTCTCAACACTACCATCTTTAATTCAAAAATGAAATTTTGAATAAAATGCATTTTGGAATCTGCTTCACAAAAACTCTGCTCCTCAATTGTATCAAAATAAGGCCCAGTTTTTCATTATCTGATTAATTTGTGGTTCAAGTTATATTTCACCCAATGAGCTTTATTCATGACATTGTAGATAAAATTCTTTGGATAAAATATCAGTTTAAATCTAACTTAACCCTAATCACAAGTTAACCAAATGATGATAAATTGGGCCTGATTAACACACACACACATACGCGCGCGCGCGCGCTATATATCTATGTATGTATAGATGTTACGCGAAGAGATCAATGTGCAGGATTGCATGAACATCGAGGATGGCATCAAACCTGTAAGAATCTCGCTTACTCAAAATGGAACGGATGCAGTGTAAGTTTTTATTCAATGTAGTTGTAGTTACCTATCTGCATTATATGTGTAAACATATATAACACAATATTCAAATTACTTTACACACACACACACCCACACTCACACACACACACACACACACACACACAGTGTCACGTAAAGTTTTTGCCATCGCTTTTGTATAGATAGAGCGGACTAAACTGTGTCGAAGTCCTCTGCCACTACAAGTCGTACAAAGGCATATGTAGATATATTTCTCCGCATCGGCAAGAATTTTTGCATTAACCTAATACAATATTGCCAACGTTAGCATTGTCCAAGATATCCGATTAACGGATAAATCTTCTTGAATGTTGTTTATTGTTTCACATAACATTTGTTAAGATCATGGCCATTGAAAGTTGTTCCCTTAATTTTTACTTCTGCACTAAAAATTCATTTTTTCGTAAAAATAAAAATAAGAACAATCTCCAATACTGAACGACAAAAGTGAGCGTCAACCAAAACTAATATAAAATTTTACTTCGCCAAATCATATCATATACGCGTATTTGATCATTTTTTAATATTATCATTTAATGAATGAATCTAGAAGAACCACTTTAAAAAATCAACAGTACTTTAATGATAATATAAAAAGCTTTATCTATATTGTGATTATTACATGGTAGTTATTATCAATTATATATACATATATAATTGCAGACTATAATATATTAATAATAGAAAATTTAATTAATTACTTATGAAATTGAAAATTATGTAAGATAGAAAATATTTGGTAATTATGCATATTAACGGACATCACACCGATGATCTTGACCTTGACATATGTTGTCAAGGTCATGATTCTGAGTAACTTTGCCTTAACAACTAGGTGGCGGTTGTTATAGTTTCTGAGATATTTAGACTTAAATGTTTAGACTTAAAACTAATTTATATGGTATATTTTTCCGTTAGAGAATAAACTCTGATGACCTCAACATTGAATTGTTGACAGTATGTACTTCTGTTTATCTCTACTAGCAGTCATAGTTTTCACTGATATTCAGAAAACATTATTATATCAGTTACTTTACTGAGTTCTTATTTAAACGTAAATATTCATTTCCCGAACGTAACGATGCGTTTTTTTACAATTATGGATGAACTGTATCTATCAACACTAGAAAAATAAATATGTATAATAATTCATATATTAGGTGTACAAATTAATTCTTGACCTTTGTTGACCAACTTTGACCTTCCTCTTTTAGGCGATAGGAAACCCCCTTATTAGGATATCGCTTATGGGCGATAAGAACGTCTTGCTGGGTTACTCCAAGCGTATTTGCAAATTCTAATTGCGTTTGACAAGAATTTTTGTTCAAAATTTCCTCTAACTCCACGTCTTCCACTTTTCTTAATTGACCAGGGCGTTCACGATCCTCAAGGTCGAAATTTCTCTCTCGAAACTGTTGGAACCATTTTTTACACGTATTGCACGATACACCATTCTAATCCAAAGCCGAACAAATCATTTCTTTTGCCTCAGCCGTGTTTTTTTTTTAAGTTGAACCGTGAAAAGAAAGCAACGCCTCAAATTTTGCTTTTCGAATGACATCGTGGCTGCGTTCCGTTATTCACTGCAAGTACTGAAAATCTATAGTATACGTAACGCGAACTATAAATTTTCAATACTTGTAGTGAATAACAGAACGTAGCCCGTGTTTACTGCTGATTTTTCAGGTTATTTTCACAAACAAGTATTGTACCTCATTTTAAAGCTAAAAGATGATACTTCAAAATGACTATAGGGGGGGGGGGGGGAATTATGCATATTAACGGACATCACACCGATGATCTTGACCTTGACATATGTTGTCAAGGTCATGATTCTGAGTAACTTTGCCTTAACAACTAGGTGGCGGTTGTTATAGTTTCTGAGATATTTAGACTTAAATGTTTAGACTTAAAACTAATTTATATGGTATATTTTTCCGTTAGAGAATAAACTCTGATGACCTCAACATTGAATTGTTGACAGTATGTACTTCTGTTTATCTCTACTAGCAGTCATAGTTTTCACTGATATTCAGAAAACATTATTATATCAGTTACTTTACTGAGTTCTTATTTAAACGTAAATATTCATTTCCCGAACGTAACGATGCGTTTTTTTACAATTATGGATGAACTGTATCTATCAACACTAGAAAAATAAATATGTATAATAATTCATATATTAGGTGTACAAATTAATTCTTGACCTTTGTTGACCAACTTTGACCTTCCTCTTTTAGGCGATAGGAAACCCCCTTATTAGGATATCGCTTATGGGCGATAAGAACGTCTTGCTGGGTTACTCCAAGCGTATTTGCAAATTCTAATTGCGTTTGACAAGAATTTTTGTTCAAAATTTCCTCTAACTCCACGTCTTCCACTTTTCTTAATTGACCAGGGCGTTCACGATCCTCAAGGTCGAAATTTCTCTCTCGAAACTGTTGGAACCATTTTTTACACGTATTGCACGATACACCATTCTAATCCAAAGCCGAACAAATCATTTCTTTTGCCTCAGCCGTGTTTTTTTTTTAAGTTGAACCGTGAAAAGAAAGCAACGCCTCAAATTTTGCTTTTCGAATGACATCGTGGCTGCGTTCCGTTATTCACTGCAAGTACTGAAAATCTATAGTATACGTAACGCGAACTATAAATTTTCAATACTTGTAGTGAATAACAGAACGTAGCCCGTGTTTACTGCTGATTTTTCAGGTTATTTTCACAAACAAGTATTGTACCTCATTTTAAAGCTAAAAGATGATACTTCAAAATGACTATAGGGGGGGGGGGGGGGTTAACTTAAACAGATTCTGACATCGCTGAAAGATAGGGGCCGAAAATTAATTTGTACACCTAATAACTACTATTTTATTTTAGCAACCCTATTTTTAGATATTATATAATTATACTATTGTAAAAATTACAAATTGAGATCTTCAACGGACTCTTATGGTTCAAAAACAGAGTACAGTCCTCAAGGGCGAATGAGAGTGCAGCGTTGATATTGGTACGCAAGTTTAATAAATTTTGTCTATTGAATAATCTGAATTCACACATAAGTATCCTTTATTCAATAATGATTAAAATATAATATACTATTATTAAAATATAATATACTATTGTAACCATTAAATTTGTTTGTAAAATAGTGTATGCAGTGTGTTCCGCCCCCTCCCCCGCGGAAAGGCTCCATTACTATTAAAAATAATCAAACCCAACCTATTTTTTGGTGTGAGATGACTCTCGCTACACGTGGAAGTTATGAGCCGTTTTCCTCCTTTTCGTCCCTCCGTCTCTTTGAGCGCATGACTTTCATGCGTAGCGAGGGTCACCTTACACTAAAAAATAAGTTGGGTTACTTGTAACAGTAGTGGAGCCCCCCCGCAGGGGGGGGGGGGCGACACCCACTGCATCTACGTATACATTACTTTACAAACAAATTCATTGCTTTAAAACACTTTAACGCTTTAAGGCGAGGAACACATACTTTTGTATAACGCATAAAGCATGTGCATAAGGAATTTCATTGGCCCATTTTCTTATGCATGAGTCAATGAACCAATCAAATTCTTTATGTATATGGTTTATGCGTTATGCAAAAGTGTGTGTTTCTCGCCTTTTAATATCTCAGAAACTATACTCTCTGCTACTTTATTTCTTTTATGTGAACATCTTGTGGAGAGTTGGTGGTGTCCTGGATAAGACTGGCCACGATAATCTGGTTTTTAACGGAACCTGGGCCACTCAAATTTAGAAGAAGAATCTCAGAGAAAGAGAAACCGCCACCTAGTTGTTAAGGCAAAGTTACTCAGAATCATGACCTTGTCAAGGTCAAAATTATCGAAGGATACTCCCCTTTACTGAATAATTATCAAATATAAACCTGTTTTAAGAACAAACCTTTGTTTTGAATCCCTATGTAAGAATATCTAGGGCGGAATTCATAGTCTATTCTTATTTCAAGATTGTGTTTAAGATGGTCTTAAATATTGTATAAAAATCAACTATGAATATTAGTGTAGTATATACCTATTCTTTAACTTGACATCTACGAAGATATTTCTGAACATAAATATTATTGAGCAAAAGTTTGTTTTAGTCCTTATCTCCAAAAGTCTCTCTCTCTCTCTCTCCCCCCCCCTCCTTCCTCCTTTCCCCTCTCCTTCTGAAAATATTTCTTAACATGCTTATAAATAACAAAAAGATGAAGAGTATTTACAAACAATTTATAAAGAAATTTTATTTATATGACAGAAAATTACGGGAAGTTTTCAAATCTATGGACGTTAATGATAGTGGCACAATAAAATTGGGGGAAGTATGTACGTTTTATTTATATGAAATATTTTTAAAGTCATCTTAAAAACTCAACATTTTCTTTTTATTTCTAGGCTTTAGTGATGTTACAGTCAAGTACAATGTGCAACAATTTGTCTGTCTTGGATCTGCTCAACACAGTAAATAAAAAATCCGGTAATGCTTGCGTATACATTTATATGGCATTTAACAGATTCGTATTTTGGTAGTAAAAAATATTAAAATATGATATATTCAATGCGCAGAAATCTATAGGACATTAATAGATGGATTTCCGGCAAAAGGTGACCCAACCGAATTGCGAATAAATTTCGAACAGTTCTGCGTTTTAGCCAGTGAATCGTCTTGGATGCGGATGAAGAATAATGGCATCTCTTGCGAAAGTGAGATACCTTCAGTATGGAATATATTATGTAGGAAGACCTCAAATTTCTTGCGCCGAGTTTTCGTACATCCTTTTAATCGCTTCCTAGGTATTTCTGATTTTCAACAATTTCCCTCAATCTTCAATGAACTGACTGTCTACACTTCTTGTCTGAATCTTCCATTTTCTCACTTCCTAAAATTGAACACTTGATTTCATCTACATATTTCGTAAAAATTAGGAAAAAAACGAAACTTATTTTAAACTATCAAGATTTAAACTATTTCAGATTGGACTAATTCCTTCACACAAGAGTTCGAGAAGAGAGACATTTATGTTGGCGTAGTCAGTAAAGATCTGTTTTGGTTAGAATCTTCTGCAATACCGTTGATAGAGTAAGTATGAACAGTTTAATGATAATTACCTCTCATCCAGTTATGCCTGTATTAGACTAAAAATTGAGATTATGTTTAATCGATCAGAATAAATTGTTACGAGTGACTAGACAGAATAAATATCATAAAAGAATAAATAATAAAATTAAGAAATAATTATAAAAATTATGGAGGCCTCGATATACATTTTGTGAAACACGTATTAATAACATCGATTGTACAATCGATATGAACAACTCGATTGCAATAATTGCAGGGACAAAAAGTAACTCATACGATCATCTGTGATTACGTCCGTTAACAGTTCGATTATAAAAATGTTAAAATTCAATTGTACAAATTCAGGTGTACAAATTAGTTCGGTCTGTTTTTTGTGTTCAAAAATGCATTTATTTCAAAACAAAATGAATGAACAGATTAATTAAAGTATTGTCCATCGCTGGCTACTACTTTTTCCCATCTCTCAGGCAATTTTCGAATTCCATCTCGGAAAAATGACTCGTCTTTGGAGGCAATCATCTTTTGAAAAACGGACCGAACGAATTTGTACTTCCAATAAAATAACACGGATAAATACAGTTAGAGTTGATTAAAATTAATTCAAATTAATTCAAAGTATTCAGTTCATTCGATGCCTTCGCGAATCTTTGAATCCTGTGCCGATCATGATATGCAATATCAAATTTAGTGAATTTTGCTTTCATTAGTCATCAATTTCAATCTCGATTTTCCAGATCAATGAGATTATCTTTATATCGACCAAGCTTGAATGAATACAACGTAAGAATATTGCCACAAGAATTGCAGAAGATAAAGAATTCACGACTGATCCTATTGATAGTGCCGCAGCATTCACGCGGTGTCACCATTATGGCATTGGCAGCTCATTTGATTGGACTGCACGCTAAGCTCGTCCTCTGTGTTCAAATTCTTCCTGAGGGTTCTATTATATCTGATGAACAAGTATGATTGCTATATTTTACACCCCTTCCTTTTCCTAATATATACACGCATACACGTACGCACACAACACAGAATTGGCAATTAAATTATTTAAGTCTCCTGAATGGTCGCCGCAATAATAAAAAGATCGTGATATCATAAATAAAAGTTACTTGTCATTTGTAAACAAAGAAAATTTAAGTAAAATAATGAGATTATTTTAAAATACTTATAGAAATAGGCCAAATCAATTCTTATTCCTCCCCCCCCCCTCCCCCCTCTCGTTAGTAAATAATCATAAAAGGAAATGAAAATAGGCTACATATATGCATTGTATAAACGCACCTTATATGTCTTTTAAGACTATTTACTAACTGTCAGGGGAAAGAAGGATAAGAATAGCCAGTACTACTCAGGAACTTTAAGGCTAAAGAATTCTAGCAAATTAACCTTCAAGAAATCATATAATTTATCATAGTTAATAATAAAATTAACTTCTGTATATTATTACAAAGTTATAATCTGTTTTTCGTGCACAAATTTGTTTTTATAAACATTTGTAGGAAAATTTTTATTTTTATAATTATAATAGATGATATAATTATTTTCTTCTTATTCATTTTTAGCTGACTGAACAAGCCCGAAAAGATTACAACCGAGGAAGGATGTACCTGTCGGATTACGCAACGCGTGAAGGTGTACCTGTTTTTCAGAATATCGCTGATGCTTTACAACATGCGATACAATTAGTTCAAAACCCTTGTTGACTTAAGTGCTCTTTACCGTTTTCTTTTTTTATTTTTTCACACAGATAAGCTCATTAATTTGAGAATTAATTTATTTTTATTCTTAACCATGTCCAACTACCATTTGAGATCAATACATAAGTACACCATAGGTATAATTATGATAATGTATTATCATTATATCTATAAGAAACGATTGTGGTACAGCAATTCATTATCGTTTTTTTCATGTTTTTTATCGTCTCATCGATATACCCGCGCGTGTTATTTATATTCTTTCCATTAATAATGTTACTTGTTTACTATTATCATTTATAGTATTATTACTAGTATCATTTTTAAGTTCTTGACAAAATTAAAATATGTGCAATCGAGACTTTATTTACGTCAAGTTATCTTATTTATTATTAGTATTTGTCATGAACACATGAGCATTTTTAAAGCAATTATTTTTACTTTGTTAACCGTTATATACAATCCTTTTATTTATTTTATTTTTAAAAAATTTATATTGGTTTAATGGATCGAGTAGCTAACCATTTTACTATATGCCCTCTTCTCGAATGACGTTGAATCCTTATTTAATTATTATAGGTTATAATAGAGCAGAAAACAATCTCTCACGGTAGATGGACATTTTTCTCATTTTATAAATTGTAACTTAACGTTCACAATTTTTTGTAATCTTTTGGTAATGTGGTTGAGGATCATTTGATATATATGTACATACATAAAACTCATAATTGTTTCTAACAATTTAATCAAATCATTAATTTTTGAAATCTAATCAAGGAAAGATGTGTTAAATTTGCTTGTACATTTTGAATGTGTGATGCGTATCTCAGCTGAGTATACATATACCAATATGCATGCATGGAACATCATGAATATACGAGGTACATTTCAACCCACAAATATGAAATGTTATTGTCAATAATAATGAAAATTACAGTATAAGAAATTGTTGTCTTATCCAAATCAGTATACAACGTGTAAATGAATAAGTGAGTAAAAAAGAAAACGAATAGAACCAGCTAGAACAAAATGCTATTAGGACCTTGAATAAGTTCTCGCTGTTTTCCAACATATGGTGTTAACAGAACTTGCACTGCGTGCATGTAGTTGAAGACATATCGATAAGAAACTACGATAAGCAAGCTTGAAATTCAGTGTATGTCATCTCGCCGAAGTGTAAACAACTTTTTGTTTCATAGTGTTAAACATGTCGAGTTTTGTGCCAACAAAAGAGTATTTGCGGGGAATTTTATTGCACTACTTTGTTCAAAGAAAATTTGCAGCTGAAGCACACAGAATTCTTGTTGAGACTTACGGTATAAACCATGCTCTATCGGAAACATGCAGAGATTGGGTTTAGACGCTTCAAAAATAATGATTTTGATGTTGAAGATAAAGCAGAATTGGAGGCATTACTGCATGAAGATTCATGTCAGACGCTAGCTGAACTTGTAGAATCATTAGGAGTTGATTACACAGCAGTTTCTAAACGTTTAAAATTATTTTTTTAAATAAAGCATTACTTTTCACGAAAAAAAAACAGCGAGAATTTATTCAAGGTCCTAATAGATCTGCTGTCCACATTTTCTATAACAATAACCATAAGGATGTACCGTAAAAATTAACTAATCAGTTCAAAATTATGAAAAACTTTTGGTAAATATGCCAAATAAGGGAGACAGCCGCGATGACTTTGACATATGTTGTCAAGATCATGACCTTGAGTAACTTCTAGGTAAGCCTTTTTAGCCATCGTTCGTTATTCATTAAAAAGTCGTTAACAAAAAAGTTCTGTTATAAAACAAAAATTCAGTGCTTTAAAACGAAAATATTTGATAATTGTTTATTATAAGGGACCGAGCCTCGATGACCTTGATGTTGATATATGTTGTCAAGGTTATAACTCTGCTAGTGATTTTTATACATATAAGAGAAGTTTTGAACACATAACCGCGCGTATTCCGATAAAAGAAACTAACCCCTAACCTAATTCATTTTTTGATGTGGGGTGGCTCTCTCGCTACTCGTAAAAAGTTGTAATTCATGTTAAACATTACTTCATGAATTTATAACTTTTCACGCAAAAATAAAAAATGGGTTGGATTGGGTTAATTTTTTTCGGTAATGGAGCATCCCCCGTAGAGGGGAGGAGCGGAACCCACTGCATCCACGCGAAACGTTGACAACATGAACATATATCAAGGTTACAGTCATCACAATTGTTTCCTCTCTTCGGCATATTTACCAAATTTTTAGATCTAATTGACTATAGCTAGAAACTCAAAGAAACATAAGGCAATGAGACGTAAGTAGTAAGCGAATTGGCTAATCACGGTAAAGAACTATTTTACATTCTCTACCGTGATTGACCGATTCGCTCACTGCTTAAGTTTTAATGGGTGCATAGTACGACGACTGCTCACTGAACGCTCAGTGAGCTCTTGCATGTGAATAAGAGCATTCAGTACGACGACCGCTCAGGCGCTCACTAAGCGCTCAGTGAGCAATCGTCGTACTGAATATACCTATTGCTTTACGATTTTTTGATATTTCTGGCTTTAAAGATCATTTAAACTAGAATAACAATCGATTTCACTCTCCTCACATTGGATTGTGATTGCTCAATTTCTTATAGTTTACAATTTACATCATAAATTATAATAGTTTACGATCAGTATCAATGATTATTGAAAAGATCCTAAAGTCGATTAGTGTAAAGCTCGATCTGCAATTGTATAAACGTAGTTGTAGTTGTTAAAATTGACCAATTATAGTTAAATACGGGAAGAATATCCAATTGTATGATTAGAAAATGCTTACAATTACGATTACTTACAACTACGTTTACGTAATTGTAGATCAAGCATAATTACACATATGTACTATCACATCAATATTTCACGTGTATGTATGTATATATATACATATATATATATATATATACACGTGAAATATATATACATAAATTTTCATATAACAATAACGGATTACTCAAATCATATTTATTATTTCGAATCATAAAATCGAATCATAAATTTTATTGTTTGAAGCAGCATAGCAGAAGAAGAAAACCAAGAACTAAATGGTCCACCATAAAGGTTTGAAGGAAAAAATAAGGAAAAGGAAAGAGGCTCCAAAGAAAAATCGTTTATTCTTTTACATGAATATCAAACACTTGTTTATACATATTAAACATTTTTCTTTTCGGAATAAAACAAAACTATTACTGTTTCTTGCGCTTTTTCTTTCAGTATGGTATCTTTTTCGAACAAAATCTTAATATGTTATCTGTCATATGCGACAGTGAATAAAAATATTTTAAAATTCTTATGCTTATATTTAATAATCGTTTAAGATTACGTGATATCATCAGAATGAATTTTAAGTGTGTTAAATTTAAATATGTTACATCCAATTTATATTAAAAATACTCGAAATACATTTAACGTTACTAGCGTAAATAAAAAACTTAGATAAGAGCCTCCGCATGAAATTATACAATTATTATTATACGTTACCTTTTGATCGAAACTATTTCGAACGAACAGTCGCACGAGTGTCTGCAGATATATTATCGATCGGATAAATGACTTATTCAGCTTTGGGTCTATTATCCTCATCATTTTTACTTTCTCCAAAATCGACTTTTCTTACTGCGTTATATTTTTCAGGGAAGTAGTACCTTCGTATATTCTTGAGAGATAACAATACTGGTATCATAGCCGGCAAAAATAGGGGAATGTATACGGCGTACCTGTAATATCGTAAAATTATTTGAAATGTAATTTAAGTATGTATATATGTATTATTTAAAAAATATATGCTGAATTTTCGTAATGCTTTCTATTGATTTTATATGAGTAAAAAAAAAATCTCGAAACTTTGATTGTTAATAACTATCAGTGTGCAAATGAAAATCTTTCGATTGAGACGTTTTCGATCCAATTTGTTCGAAGTTGGGAGGCTATTGTGAAGTTAGCAACCCCCCCCTCCCAACTGTTCTTTAAATAACTTTTTAACTAGAAGTGTGTAAACGATGAGCAATCAAATGAGCTATAGAAACTAATTTTTTTTTTTTTAATTGAGGAGCCAACTTCACAAAGGCCTTCAAAAGTATATGCATTCGATCGAAATTTTGTCCCCCATTTGTGTAAATCTTATCCTTCACAACCCCAAAGGAAAAAATCAAAAGTGTCATGATCTATAGGCAGCTAATTGAAGTTCCCGTTACGTGAAATGACACATCTAGGGAACCTCTGACGATTTGCGAAACGTTTCCACGAAATTTTCACCATGTTTATAGTAAGTTTTCATTATTTCTATGCGTTACTTAAGCAAATATCGATTCATTGTTATTAACTGGTTTTTTACTCGACAACTGTCAAGTATGATAACTCCATCTCTATAACAGATACAAAATGCCGCGAAATTAAAAATGCAACCTCTTAATGGAAGAACCTGTATTTTCTATTTTTTTCAAATTGTAAAATGGCATTGTTTTACTTTGATCAATATTTTTTCTATTATATTTTACATTTTAACACTAGAACCGAGGCATTATTTTTTTATCATTTTGTAGTACTTTCTAGTTTTGTAGTACTTTTTAATTAATGTGGATTTGCATGTGGGGATGTATATTTTTGTGACTTCTCATCAATAATGATTATAATTAATTACAAATAATTTTATTTTTATGGTAACAACCTTTCCTCGTAATAATCCAGATTTAAGTTGAATCATGATTGGGTCAATTTAAATTCGCCATTGATACAATGTATTAAGATCAGTTTATACTTGTTTTTCACTATGAATGCGTAACGTTGATTATGGCCGCACGTAGATTTTAAAATGACCATAAGTTGAATATTAATAAAAGTGTATTATTTAATTGCCATTATGCTCACCTATTCAGAAATCACAAAAATAATAAGCAATTTTAGGAAAGACCCAAATCGCCACGATTATAGTGGTAAAATAAATTATTTCAACTTTTTTAAAGATAATTTAAAATTAACTCACTTTTGATCCTCTGGAAAATAAAGAAGTGCCAAAAGTGTTGGGTCGGAAAAAGCCGCCTCGGAGATAATAAAAGCTTCTTTACTGAGGATGAAACTACGTTTAAGATCGCCTCGTCGTAGATGTTCAGCAGACTCATGCACTAACCCAAGAGCAGTTTTGATTCTGTTTCCTACTACATCCGTGATAACAATATTGCTAATTTCTTTGAGTAATCGCGCCAGTGACTGTAAAGTTAATTTGGCCGAAGTTAACTGCTCAATTGTGCGGTATCTTAATAAGGAATCAATTTCCCAATCACGTGATTTTAACCCAACCAATGGCACCGTCGTCACTCCGTTAAGAGATTTCTGAAATTAATTATTTGTAAGTCGTTTCACATTTTAATCAATTTTTGTATACTATTATACAGAGTGTCTAAAAAGTTACGGGACACCTAAATATCATGGAAAATCTAAATATTATAGAAAAGTGTTTCAGACAAAAGTTGTAGAGTTCAAAAAGATCTATTTACTGATCACATCCGTTTGACCTTGAGTGGTGTCGCCAAGATCAGGTCAAGGATACGTCAATTTTTTTAAATGGAACACCCCATTTTTTTATTACATATTCTTATAGCACATCTCGAGAGTTTTCCAAAACACTATAATAAAATATTTTTTCATGAAGTACTTTTCGAGTTATAATACTTAAAAGTTACAGTATCCCCGGCATGTAGCATTATTTTAGGAGTCCTATCGATGGCTAAAATCTCTTGTTGTTCAAGATCGTCATTTGAATAACATGTCAAGTTAAAGGCCATTAAAAGTTGTATTTCTATTTTCATTTTTGCACTGAAAATTCATTTTTTACATAAAAATAAAAATAAGAATTTGAGGGGACTTTTCAGATGGAGTTGCGTTTCAAGACCGACGATTGTTCGGCGCGCAATTTGGGGAAAAAAGGGGGGATTACATATATTATTTTGAATAAATATTGCGAAGAATATTACTACGTCGACCCGCCATCAGAGGTCTATCGATATTCGCAAATTCTCGCAATTTCTGCTTTGATACGCGTATATCTCTTCATATAGAATCTCGATTGAATAACTCTCTCAGGCGTATAAGGTAGGCTTCCACTACAATGCCTTACTGATAAGTCCAGTAGTGGAAACTGGGACGAAACGCCATAATAACGTGATATTCTTCGCAATATATTCGATTAATTTAAAAGATTTTAACGAATTTATTGGCTCATTGTCCTTGTCTCTTTATAGAAAATCGCGCAAAAATGTTTTCGTAATAAATTCATTTTCTTTCAAAAGTGTCTAATTTGAATGTCTCGCGACTGAACGAATGTTTATTGATGCATCAAAGGCAAGTCTCATTAAAAGATGAAATAAAGTTAGGATATCAACAGTTTTAATGTGACACGACGCCTAATATCATCTTGCGAAAACTTTCAACACAACGTATACTTGTTACTCTCTTTTCTTAATTTAGATGCAGTTCTTTTTTCAGCGTATTTTTCTTATTCTTCGACATTCTTTTACGCCGATAATGGCGTGATTTTACGAATCACCCCCCTGTACCAATTCCGTGACTGAGCGGTAAGATGTTGTCCGTCGCAATAAAAAATTGTCGAGAATTGTTTGAATTAATTAAAGTATTGATAAAACTAGTATATATGCTCTCTCACATGCCTGGCACCCAATAATGATTAGTTACTGAGAGATTACTTCAGATTTTAAATAGAGCCAGGGAGACGACGTGGGTAACTTAAAAAGTTTCTTAAGTCTTCATCGGTGTTGGTACGACCACGTTTAAATTCGTTTACCCAAAAACTGATGGTTGGTAATGAAGAAGTAGATTCTGCTTGAATCTACACAGCTGTTTTCCCTTTCAAAAAATAGCGTTTTATCATTGTACGAAACTCCTTTTTATCCATTGTTGAAAAAATGTTTGACTTGCTTTGTTTGCTAAATGACTAATGGACGCAATTGTTTGAAAATTTTATAGTAATCATAGAAGATGATATACTTTTTGGCCATTGTCTTTTTTGCGATACGCGCGCTATTTCTGTGTGACTTAAAAAAAAACTTTTCAAGTTGTCCACGTATACTCCCGAGTATGGTACAGCGTATATAAATTTGAATAATTTACACAATTAAAACAAACTGAAAAAGAAATTATAAATGACTCTATTTAAAATTAAGTTTTAATATATTAAAACTTTTTTAATATCGTTACCATTTCTGGAATGCCTAGTAGAAGTCTGAGTTGTGCCAGGAATGTGCCTACTATAGCAGTTTCTTCGGGAACGACAGTAACGGCTTCATCCTTTCGCACGCTTTCACAAACCTCTGATGATGGATTAATCAAAATCACGCCACCCCATCTATATTAATTATACGATATTAAATGACTGAACTAAATTAGTTCAAAAATAATATATTTGTTAAAAAATTAATTTTTATAGAAAATAATAAATTATATACATGTTACACACAGTGCAACAAAATAATTAATGTTCATGCTCATTCAAAGTAAGATGAAAAAAATCCCAAAAACCGAATTCAAGAACATTGTTTTATCGATTGAATAGCACACATACACGCGCGCACGCAGGCACGCACGATTTTTATAGGAAATAATGAAAAATGAGTTGGCAAATCTTTTAGAAACTTTCAAATTTTTTGGGTGTGCTTTCCAGGACCTAGAATGTTTTTTGGTCACAACTTTATCGCATATATACAATAACAAGTTATGTAAATAAATGAATTTATAAAATATCAATTTCAATATATTAATTCATAAATAACGAACTCCTGTATGAATCAAAAATTAACTTGGAAAGAAAAGGGCACTAGGAGTTAAGCGTAGATAACTTCACGCAACGCCGATATATATCTAGCAAATCTATCTATTATAAAATTATTAAATAATCAAGCTTGATTATTTAATAATTTTTTATAATAGATAGATTTGCTAGATATACATATATTTGACGTTGCGTGAAGTTATCTATAACGCTTAACTCCTAGTGCCCTTTTCTTTCCAAGTTAATTTTTGATATCAATTTCAATCCAAAAACGATTTTAAGTGATGAAATATCTGATATATAAAACGATTTTCAGCTTTTTCTATTTTTCAAAAACTATTCAAAATATTAAAAAACGTTTTATACAAATGTTTTACAATAACATTACTTCTATTCATTTATATAAATATTTTTGAAAAATAATTTAAAAAATTTTTTTGGGAGCTTTTAAAATACACATGAGAAGTAATTTTACTCCTTAAAATCGTTTTTGGACCGCAACTGTTCTACATTTATCTATTTACGCAACTTATACATGTGTACAAAGTTTTATTAATATCAGAATTTGACACTTCGTAAGGTTTTCTTTGCAAGATAAGAAATAGAAAAGAAGAGCTCTTTTCAATACAAATTCCACATTACAGACTAGTATTAATGCACATATTTTAATTCTGGAAAAAGATTTCCAAAAATTTGTAAAAGCAATACCTACATTATTCTACGAAAATTATTGCGTTTAATTAGTAAAGCAGACACCTTAATATCCCCTAAAGAAAATTTATAATAATAATAGATGTATGAATAAAAAATCGGGAATATAAAAGATACCTTGGAGACAGAAAGGCTTCCACATTGCTATCTGTTCGCGATCTGTGTCCGCTGCGGGTGTAGATATGTAAAGGTGCATTATCACACGGTACCATATAAACGACTAAATTGATACATGGATGGAGACTAACCTGCGACGCTTTAAAGTTTAATCAGATATGCTAGGCATATACTTTTTGTGTGCATTACAAACCTAATTTTTTTTCTAACGGTGTTACAAGTTGTGGCAGGACACTCTCGCGCAAGGCAAAGTGCCTACGGCTTGGGCTACTGTCGGGTACACGTCTGGGATTCATATCTAATGGTAATAAATACAGCCACTGCGATTTGATCGAAAAGTTACTTAAGATGGACAGCTCGTCTAGAAATGGTTGCACATATTCTGCAAGAAATTAATTGCCGATATTTAATAATAATATACAGGGTGCATAAAAAATCTAAAAACAGTCGAATATCTTAAAACAAATTATTTTTAGGAAAATGTTTCGAACAAAAGTTGTAGGGTTTAAAAAGATATATTTTATATTTATATATAAATTCACACGAAATTACATATATAAGTAACTAAGATCCAAGCTGGACTGTTATAGGCTTCGTATTCGTATCAGTTTAATTAAATTATTTAAAAAATTTTGTTTATATTTATTGATTAATTTTTATAACAAATAATTTATCCACATCCTTTTCTTTTTGCATTCACAGATTTAGCCTTATTTAAAAAAAATATAAAGAGAACATTGTATTTATTTATGTTTATATTTATATATCATAGCACAAAACATAATTATTTAATTCTTATTTAATTCAATAAATTTGATACGAATAATATACAGTATAATTAATTTTTAAAAGTTTCCAAAAAAATTCTGTAAAAGATTCATATAATATTATAATGCTGAAAAACTATCAGCGTCGCGATTTATGGGGGGACTACATACGCAGTATATAAAATTCACACAATTATAACAAGCACTGTGATCCAGCTTTAACCGTAAATGGCTTTCTTCTTCCAATTTATTATTGAATATTATAATGCATAATGGTTATATATGATATATATACCTTCGGTTACCGTCTTAAGGTCCCAAATAATCTTTAGTTTTTCAGGGTCAGGATTAACCAAGGTAACTAGAACATCATATGCCAAACTAGCTGGGAATCGTCTTCTATTCTCCTCATCTAAACTATACATGGTAGGTTCCGCGAGCGCATTTTTTGTTAGCGCTAATGATTTATCACGTAGAATCCATTCTGACAATACTTGTATCAATTTAGATATATCTGAAAGCACATTGGGGTATTTATGTAACATTATATAGGAAAAACAATAGGAGTAATAATAAGGGCAATGAGCCAAATACTGAACGCAAGAGAAATTTTCAAATTAAGTATAATATAAGTATAATATAAAGTTTAAAATTTAATACAGACGTTTCGACTCCGATCGAGTCATCTTCAATGTAACAAAAATGAATTATAAAATTTCGGTATCGCTAATAAATAAATGTAATGTCAGGAAATTATTCGCATCTTGAAATTGTAGTCCATCAAGTAAAAGTTAATCCAATAACAGTAAATTCAATCTTGTTAAAAATTGTGTAATAACTAATGTCAATAATGTAAATTATTACACAATTTTTAACAAGATTGTACTAAAAAAGAACAAAGATATCACCTGAGACTCTCTTGGTCAAATCGCGAAACTAGCGCCAGCGCTTGTTAGTAGTATTATATATAATATTTCAGTGACGCACGCACGTACGCACATACATACATGATTATATATAAGTAGCCACTCTTTTTTATATTTTAAATTAAGAGAGATAGATTCAATAAATATGGTTTCAAATTAAACAGCTGTAACTAAACTTTATTATAAACACAGTGTTCACTGAAATATTTATATTCTATAATAAAGTATTTATGTAAGAAAAAACAGAAAAAACAAACATAATTTTTTACTATAAAATAATTTTCAATATAATAAAAGTTGTAAAGTTTAACGAGAACAATGATGTATTATATAATATAACAAAATTATTTTACAAATTATAGGGGAGACCGGGACACCATGAGTCACAAAAATTCAAACAGTAAAAATACATTAATATGTAAGATTTTTAAAATAATACAAAATAATTTATAAGGCTCACGTGAATAAATCAGTAAAGGAAAAAATAATCGCCATTAAGAGCCGACATAAGTTAGAAGTATGTAAATTCAATTTAATGTAATAAAATTCAATAACATATAAACGTTTCAAGATTTTTAGTCTCAATTTTATAAAAACTCAAAAAATTTAAGATATTTTTTTCAGAAAGGACCCCGCACTAAACAAATGGAAAATGGGTTTCAGTGGATTTGGCTAAAATTTGAATATGATGTAGTTAATGTGGTCCTGGACAAAAGTATGAATGGGCCCCAAAGCTCAATAATGGCCAGTTTCCGAGTTATTCAACTCTAAAGTTAAATAAATCTGTATTTTCGGCCCACTATTTTTAAATTACACAGTCACATAAAATTAAGAAAGTGCCAAAGACTAGACCTATGTTTTCTTAGGTATTTTGACGTGCTGAATCCAAATCAGGGATCAAAATTGACCGCCACTATGTCAATTTTTTTTAAATCGTGAAAAACCACCCTTGAAAATGGAAAATTCCATTGTAACTGCATTCAGCGTTAGGTATAAGTGTGGGAACCGACTGAAAATGACTGCAACATCCAACTTATATGTATTTTGGCGTGCTGGATCCAAATCCCCGGTCAGAATTGACCATCACCACACCATTTTATTTTAAATTGCTAAAAACCACCACCTTTGACAATGGCTGTACGTGTGATGAGCATTTAGATATAAGTATGGTATAATAATTACTATTACCTCCGGTATTTTGAGGCGATAATACAATCTATTGCATTATAAGCAGGCATACCTACACATTACCAGAGACTTATTATTGGTACGCACGCATAACAGTATTGCAATCGCCTCTCAACGCATCAATAACTCATAAGCCAATTATCAAATATCATTTACACATCTACTCTTAGGGGCTCTAATTTAAAGTAAACGCTACCTTACTTTACTTGCGAGAAAGGAACTCCACAATTCTGACCGCGGATTTGAATTCAGCGCATTAAAATACATATCAGTTGGATATTGCAGTCATTTTCAGTCGGTCTCCACACTTATACCTAACGCTGAATGCATTTACAGTGGAATTTTCCATTTTCAAGGGTGGTTTTTCACGATTTAAAAAAAATTGACATAGTGGCGGTCAATTTTGATCCCTGATTTGGATTCAGCACGTCAAAATACCTAAGAAAACATAGGTCTAGTCTTTGGCACTTTCTTAATTTTATGTGACTGTGTAATTTAAAAATAGTGGGCCGAAAATACAGATTTATTTAACTTTAGAGTTGAATAACTCGGAAACTGGCCATTATTGAGCTTTGGGCCCATTCATACTTTTGTCCAGGACCACATTAACTACATCATATTCAAATTTTAGCCAAATCCACTGAAACCCATTTTCCATTTGTTTAGTGCGGGGTCCTTTCCATAAATACAAAATATGAAAAATTCTTAAAAATGTTACAAGATTTTTTTCGTCCGTGACATACGTTTAGCCAAAAATAATAAGTTAATCACATCGATTATATTACAATTTTAAGTCTAGTAGATACAACTGATTCATGCAAATTGCTTCAATAATAATTAACTTACTAGTTTCGGTGGAGAAATACAGTGTTCTCTTGGAGCCAACTAGAACAGCGTCGTTCAAATTTGTCGCTTCGAGTAGTAGCAAATCACCCACATTTAAATCGAAAGTCGAAGCCACCTTTTCGAGTTCGTGGTATGTGAAAACGGACGCCAAAAGATTATTAGAAATTATCTGATATTCTACGTTCAGCTGGTATATTTCTGAAAATCAAAGGTTGAGATTAGCAAAAAAATAATATCAAAATTTAATGATATTGAAAATTAAATAGGCTACGCTATAGGTTGTAAGATGCTCTTCAATATAAACAATATGTAAAATACAAAAGTTACAAACGTTTCTACTCTTATCGAGTCATCATCAGTGTAAACAATATTTAAACATAACTATGGTTATATATCAGAATTAGATTCTTTTCGATGAATCGTACTGATTGGTGGCTTGGGGCGCATGGCGCTCAGAAAAAATTAGAATGACAGTGACACAAGTTGCGACTATTATCTTCTTGTCATTGTCGCTTTAATCTTTTCGATTTCATGCGCCCTGAGCCAATCAGAGCACGATACAAATTACGTGGTGAATTGGCGACTCTCTTATTATAGGCTCTCTAGTAGTGAAGAAACAGTAAAATGTGGCTAACGAAATCGACCCGAAATGTATGTATGTATGTACATATAGATCAAATTTATTTATGTTAACAAATTTATTTTATGTTAACAAACACAAATGTATAAATGTTTATTTTTAGGTAACTTTTATTGTTTTCAAGGGGTCCAAAAATTCTTAGCGCTTCAAGCCCAAAAGTTCCTTAATCCGGCGTTGATCCGACCTTATCTAGCCCTTTCTTATTATTCGATCGGATAGTCGAATATCATTTTAGTATCTAGATAAAATTATGTATTGAAAGTTCACGTTATTAACATAGAATTTTATTCTTTTCAACTGAATTTCGTATATAGTTCAACGGTTTCGAGGGAGCCGTATTTTGGTCATGTTAAAAAAGTTGACAATTTTAGCCACTTTCGGTCTATCTTATGTGTTTTGCGTAATGAAATACTTGGTCAATTACATTTATTTTATATCTGTTTTTGATTAAGAAGAATTCAATACCTTCTTTATGCATTTGGCGTATATTTTTTCTTTTTTAAGAAAGGTATTTTAAGGTTAGATTATTTTCAATATATTAATGTTAAGATTTCAATGAAATTACGTGTTAGTATTTTTATCGAAAAATTAGTCGTAACATTTCTGTTATATGATTTGAAATCTAGCGTTTAAAATATGTATTTTCAAAGCATTCTGATATCACATTATCAAAATTATTTAAATCTTTTTATGCAATAATAATATGAATCTTTATTAATTCTTTCATGTTTCGTTTTCACTTACCAGCGTTTTCGAACGTACGTCTGATCTCACGTGCGATCAACTCGGCGCGATTGTGTGAGAGTGCTGCGACAATAATCTTTGTAGTGATTCTGATATCCAGTTTCGACAATTCATCAATTCCGATATAAGGAAGTGTAACGCGAGGTACTGTTGTAGTATGCCACCAGAGAGGTACACCAATTCCTAGCAGTAATACAGCGAACGATACGCTCGCATATACTCTGTACTTCTCTGTAACAAAAATTTTTAAATTATATAATGTACAATTACATAATAAGCTGAAATATAAACATAATAATACAGAAAATCAAGGCTAATGAGAGCCAGAGCGTGGGAAGGGGTGCGCAAGTTATTAATTTGGCATAATTAACTTAACTACAATTGTTCTGCGATGTCTTTTCTATTCAGAAATCTTAAACGTTTCAACTCTATTTAGAGTCTCTTCATTAGCAAGTCTTAATCAAAGATAGTTTATTTAGCAGTTCGTCAAAAAAAATTACTATGCAGGTTGCCAAGTGGACCCTATAATTCAAAATTAAATTATGAAAAACTAAAATTTCTCTAGAGAAATAACAAGTAACTCACCTTAACGAATTCCAAAAATGTTAAAAAGTTTTGGAATGAAAAATTACAAGTGGAATATTAAGAAACTAATATTTCGATACTTAATTTAATTTTCATGAATATTAAGAGAGAACTATCTAAAACCTCCATATGTACAATTCGGAATATCGAATGTACCATACCTTAATCACCTATGTCCACAGTGAAAGCTATAACTTCAATGCCATATTAATACTACTTCATAAAAAACGACCATTAAAAAAATTGTTTTTATATACAGTCTGTCTAGTAACAGCGTGGCAGGCCTATCTCAAAGAAAAATGGCTTATTAGCCTTAAATTTATATCAGGAGAGTGTCTCCGGCCATGTTAAAAAAACTACTATTAGTTAATTTAAAAGTTAGTTTAAAAGATTTAATAATAGACACTGCAAGTCTCTTATCCCGATCCATCAAAGTCCATTCTTGGGGGGTGCATAACTACTAAAATATAAAAAATTTTGAATCGAACGTTATATGTCCTGAAAGGCGGCATCGCCACGAGTAATTTGAGCCAAAAAAATTTTTAATCGGTCAAGCCATTTTGGAGATACAAGCCGTCGAAAAGTGATGATTTTAATGAAAAATTAAGAAACGTCTCCTTCTACGCCCGTCCGAAATATATAACGTTTTAACATCCCCTCACACCTTTCACTCACACCTCCACCATCTTCGACCCACCGGACCTCCTCCTCCCTCCCCCTTTCCTCCCCTCAACATCATTCTCTTTCGTTATTACAACTTTTTAACATCCTCTCTCACCTTTCACTCGCACCTCCAGCATCTTCGACCCACCCGGACCTCCTCCCTCCGCCCCTTCCCCTTCCAACACCACTCACCCCCATCACCCCTCTCTTTCGCCGTATTTCACTCTCTTTCGTTATATAATATTTTTAAATCATTTTTTTATATATATTTGTGATATATTTTTACTCTGAAAAGTAAGTGATATCCGAAAAAAATCATATCATAAAAATGAAAAGTTTAAGCCATGTTCAAAAAAAGATACTCAAAAATTTAAACCTTTTTATCTAATAACATTAATAATAATATATTACCACGAAAAGTAACTGATATATTATTAATTAAAGGTGCCAGTTCAAAGTGAACACACATAAACTGTATGTAACTTCCGGCAGATTTTCGAATCGCCTCCGCCCTCTGCTGTCCCCCTCACCTCATCGCGCGTGGTCCAAACGTCGCTATAGCGAAAAAAATTGCAATAATCTCATCTTGAGAGTGTAAACTAAATAAAGCAGAGAGAAAGAGGAAGGAGAGACAAAGAGAAAGATAGAGGGAGAAAAGAAGGGAAAGAGAATTGAAGAGGAAAAAGGAAAGAGAAGAAGAGAGGAGAGAATGCGCTAAAGGAGAGGAGGAATAAAGTCTGAATTGAAGCCTTAATTCTGTGCGCTTTAGACTTGGATGGTCAGTACGAATGAAACACAACGTCGAGTAGCTCGGAAAACTCCGAGAAGCGATCGTGACGAGAGTGATAGAAAAAAATTTACAAAAAAAAAAAGCGTATTATAAAACTAAGTAAAGTTGTGTGATATTAACAAAGCTTCACGAAATATTATAGTGAATCTTATTGTTGAAATTTATAAACAGTTTTATTGCTGATAAATATCTATTAGTGATGACGATGTGATTGTTATTCTCTTATCTCAACGAATAAATAATTATTTCATCAAATTAGGCAATTATCTCTTATCTCGTCGAATAGGCAAATGTTATTAAATATAACAACGTAAAGTCATGTATTTATGCAAATATTGTTTATGGCTTTAAGTGACTAAAAGAGTATTGGATTAGATCATATTGTACAGGATATTAAATAAAAGTACGTGGTAATTTAAAATAAGAGTACAGTACGATTAGATGTAATTGCAATTAATTATATTCACTTATCAATGCATTTACATACATTATTCTGTGAATTATTATTATATGGATTATTATTATATAGTTATATAGATAACAGCGTCGCGTCTCTTTTAATTCAACTGAATTCTTCTATGTGTGAATGCATCAGTAACGAGAAGAATTCAACTTCTTGTAATCCACAGAAGTTAATAATCCGCGTCGTACAAGTTGTGCTACATCCAACATATAACGGCATATCGCGTGCATTGCACGCACCGCGCGCATCGCTTGCGGATGAATCAAAGAAAAGAATTTGATTACAATAGAATGATTGGACATGATAATTCATGTTTCAATTGTACATACCTCCTGATTTTTTAATCTATTGCAAAATGCGTAGAATATATTATACGGTTATAATATCAGAAATTAGCAAAACTGTAATAATGTAACAAGATTTAAGATATTTTACGTTTCAGTAATAAAAATTAGAAAAGTTTAATACAATTTATTTATTAATATCTTTTTACATTTATTACAATTGCATCACTTTTTAAAATTTTTAATATGTATATTTATATTAACATTTTTTTAAATACTAAAAATAATACTTTTAAATAAAATAGAATATTTTCTTTTTTGAGATTATTAAAATAAGCAAAATATAATTATGTCATATAAACAACGTTACAAGACAAATGCAGCAAAAAAAGTAACGATGAGTGCGCGACTACCACTATAGGTAATTTTATTTTTATTGTTTTTTCTGATGTTCTATATTTAATGCGTCTCAAACTGAGAGCGAAAAAACTACGAATACAACACGTGATAATATCAACTTAAAAAATTGAATTTTTCCATATACAACTTAGGTTCGACAATTATGATAATCTTTTAATTTCAATTTACATATTAAAAAATAATTTGAGTTATTTACTTTACAACTGCACAGTGCGCGTATTGTTTTAATTATTTAAAAACACTATTTGTAATATAACATCATTAAATAAATTCTGTATCTTTCAATTATCTAACATATAATTATTACATATAATTGTACTAATTGGCTTTTTTCAATATTATATCAGACGCTCTTCAATAATAATTAACATTTATATATTCTAATCTTAGAAAAAAAATTTCCTAAAAATTTCCAAATTTTACGAACATTTTTCAAACACCCTACAAAAAATTAGAATATTTATAGATGTAAATTTATAATAAGTAAATTTAATTATTATATATCTATAAACTTTCTAATCTCCTTATTCTTATTTATACTATTCCAGCTAAAAGATTAACACTAATGTTTCAAGTACTTAAGAAAGTATTTAAAAATTAAAAATTTTTTATAAAATAAATATTTTATATCATACAGAATACATTTAACAGATTAAATAGTAGAACCTTTTGTACAGAGAAAGACAATTATAATGCTTAGATACTTAGAATATTATTTAAAAAATTAATAAATTA